GAGAGAGAGAGAGAGAGAGAGAGAGAGAGAGAGAGACTTAAGTACTCACGGTCAGCATAGCCGTCAAGTTTGTCGCAGCCAATGAGCTTGGACCGACACCTTCTCCACAGTCCAAGATTCACGTCACCGTTGGTGTCTGACGGCAAGTCAGTCACCAGCCAGGATGTTGTCGTGAAGGACAACCAACTAGATAAATGAGTAGTCATTACAGATAAGTACCAAAAGCACATAATAGATCCCCTTCTAATTCAATATTAATTTCTACCAAACCGATAATACTTAATGTGTCCTGCGTGCTCATAATATGACCTTATGCAGATGAAAGCGCATAAAAAAACTAACACCCCCCTCCCCCCCAAAAAAACAACAACATAAAAACAAACAAACAAACAAACAAACAAAACAAACAAAACATTCTGAACAGAAGACGGCACGTTATCTAAAGATCTAAATTTTAGCAACTTGAAACGAGTTATTGCTGGCCAACTTGCAGGAAATCTTGCCTGGAGCCACTTTCTCAGCAATTTTTTGTTACGGTCGTTTTTGTTAACACTTTATTGTTGGAGTTTGAGTGTGAGCGGGTGGGAGGGGATGTTATAGTCCTTCCACGCATAAAAATCATATTTAATTTATGTGAGTTCTTATAGCTCGGCTTGATTACCAGCAAAGATGCAACCTTTGATGATGCATACACCCTTACGTTTTTCGAGATACCGAAACCCCCAAACGTTCCGTATCAATGCTTTATTTATTGAGTATAGAGCCTACTTTCAGTCTATGAGTTTCGACATTATTTGCGGCAGTTACTGGCTTCTCGTAATTAAGGAAAAATTATGTCGTGTGCAAGGAGCCAACATGCTGAAAGGAAATGCACAGTATGATATATAAACAGTTGCGGGTATCATTGCCTTTAGGTAGTCTATGTTATCAGAGCCATCGAGGCGCTTTTCCCTTTCGTCAACCCGCAGTAGAGTTGGGGCGAGCGGACGGACCGGTTCGTTACTCGCAGACTCAGTCAGAGCGAATAGGTAACGGACGGCCATGAGAGCGAATTGCGAACCACAAGACAGTTCGCTTTTTTGGGTCCGCTCCACA